TGAAAAGGTTGAATAATGGACATGGTATGAGTCAGTTTACTTTATGTACTGTACATTAATGCTATTGCAAAAATAAAAAATTGTATAAATGAGCTGGATTGCATCTAATCATATAAAAACAAAAAGAGCTTTATCATTATCATTATCACTTATGTCAAATAATCTAAAACTTTCACATTTATATAGTATTTCTAGAATTACATATACACATATATATATATATAGAGAGAGATTGTGATACAAATTACATGGTGTTATTTAGATATATGAATAATTAAAATTTGTAAAAAAAAATGTACTTCTAAAAAGTATAGATTAATCTATAGTTTATAATATTTGTTAATTTTAACAGATGTTGTAAAAATATAATTCAGTTATTTTTTTTTTTTTTTTTTTAAAAGCTAAAATATTAAATTGTTATTATGGGACAAAACTTTTATTTTTCAGAACACTACATTTTTAATGTTGCAAACTAGTAGATGACAGAATTTCAGATACAAGGGTAAGGAAATTAAAAGTTTAAAATTAAAATTGGGAGCTATACAATTTTAGCACATAAACCCACAAACAAGATATTTAAAGACAGGAAATAATATAAAAAAACCATATTTCATATTCAACATCTTTTTATTATTATCTAAAAACAAACTAATAAAATTTTACCTTTTCAAAATTAGAGATGGGACATCCAGATCCTTGAATCCTATAAATCTTGCCAGATATGAGAATTTTACTCTTCAAAATTACCTATTTAGAATTACTTATTGAACACTTCAAAACCACTACAAATATATCTTTATTAAGGATTTAAAGGCAGCAAGTGTTGAATTTTAAAAACAAATTGACTGATATTAGTCGTAATCCTATTAAGAAGTTGTATTTATGGCATATGATATTGATTCTCTAGAATAGGATTTAATATAAATTCCCAACCCCTGAATTCTCCAAAAAGATTATATAACTTTTCATGGTATTGACTCCAATATGACAAATATTTGATATTTTATTTTAAAATTCACTAATATAATTATTATTATAACAAAATTAATTGAAATACTAGAAAAATAAAAAAAATTATTCATATAATCTTCCTTAGATATTATGCATAACAATGTTTTGTCTTGAAATCACCTATAATTTATATTGACAAAATGTTTTAAACCTTACCTATCATATCCTGAGAATTGAAAATCGATCAGTGTTTGAGAATTGATAACCCCAACTCTGAGAACTGAAAACTTAAATCTTTCCATTTCCTTCCTTTAAATCGCAATTTTGGGAAGATTAGTTTTATTCACAATTCATAAAAACAGATAATTAAAAAAAGAACATGACTGATAAAATTTCAAGATACCTGCATCACTAGTGTCACCTCATGGCAACCTTGAAACCACACTATAAAATTTTGTATTCCATATTTAGTTGTTAATCTGTGCAAATTCTTGACATAATGCTTCCCTTTCAAGACTTACTTAAATTTGAAAAGATTCTGAAAAAATGTAACAATAGTTACTCAAATAATTTTTGTAATATTTTGCTCATAAATAAACGACAAGATTTATGAGTTTTCAGATTTATAATTTTTTTGTTAATTTAACATCTAAGTTTTTTACATGAAGTATAAGAGATCTAAATATTTGAAAACCTTTTGGGATTTAGATTTAAAAAATTTAGGGATTTGTTCACATCTCCACATAAAACAAACAGTTTACTTCATCTGGCATTTTGCTCAGAATTTGGTATATTTACCATTTGTACTCTGCTGACTTCCTATATCATATATTTGTGTACTATCACACTTCACTGGTCAAGGCAATTTTACGTTCTTGGTAAATTTATAAAGTACTTACTGTATCGGTAAACTTTGATTCTTGAAAAATTAATGACATTAAGTTTCATTGTATATTAAATAATATTACTTAAATTTTTTAATATTTAACAGTTTAAAAGACAAAGAATTTTCGGCTAATCTTTGGAATATGGTAACAGGTAGTTTGGCGACATTTTGGTAAGGCGATAAAGGTTACTAGCTAGGACTTTAGCAGTGTACATGGATAAAGTCAAGAGTGTGCACAATGCCATTTTTGTGCAATTCTGGGGATGTTTTTTTAAGTGAAAATAGGTCAACGTGTACAAGGATACCGTGTATGTGCAATACTTAAAAACGCGGCAAGCAGTTTGCGATTCTGCACTTTCTCCCAATTTCGCACCTAATCTTTGTCATGATTAAGCACTTTTGTTTGATAAAAGTTCTAGCATAAGCGTAATTTGGATAACAGATAGTTGGGAAAAAATGTTGAGTAAAAAAAAAAAAAAAAAAAAAAAAAAAAAAAGGCCTTTACTTCGTGAAAACAAAAGGCGTCCAAACAAAAACTAGCAGGTTGCTGTAGCAGGGTTGATCGCCAAAAAATCGCAAAGTTACCATTATCCAAAGATTAACCGAATTTTCTTTTTGATATTTTTTTTACTCAAAATAATGTTTTTAACCTAACTAACAAAGTAATGCATAAAAATTACCAAAGAAATGTAGCAGGTGCAGTTCTATGACAAAAATCGCTAAATATATTTGAAACCATAATGCATTTTAAAATGCTTATAGAAAGCAGCAATAGAACAAACTGGACAAATAAAATGTAAAAATATAATAAATCTCAAATAGAAGTATAAATGAATATTTTACTTTCAACATAATTTTATACAATTGTGATGTACTTAATCAGATAAATGTTATTAATTTTTACTATATGGGAGAGGGTTTATCTGGATAAACATAGTGAATAAACAGTAAAATGCATGCAGAATTTTTTTTTTTTTTTTTTTTTTTTTTGAGAATAAATAAAGAATAAATTTAAACATTAACTATTCAGATAAAAGCTTTGGGCAGCCAAGAACTTTCTGTTTGAAAAAAAATGCTGTTTATAAACAGATACTATTTACAAATACTGTAAATTATATCTCAGTATTTAAATATCCCCCTCAAATCCAAGCAATTAATTTTTTTGGTTACAGAATATGACAGCAAATAGGCCAGAAATTTTTTCCTCCAAAATTTCATATTATAAGAAATGCAATTAATAGCAATGGTATATTATTTTTTCCAGGACTAAATATGTTCACAAAACCTTCTGCATATCACTGATTCTGAATATTTAATGTAATACAATCAAATAAGTTACATTATTTCTATAATCTCATAAGTAATAATAAAAATATACTAACAAGTAAATAAATATAATTAATGTAATCTAATAACTATTGTTATTGAACAGGACCTAAACTTCAAATCACTTGAAAGAATATAAAATATTTAGCACAGTTCTGAGTATTTTAATTTTAAAAAGACATTTCAACATTAGAAATGCTACATATAGTTATCACTACATATAATATCAAAACCATGAAACATAAAGCTCAATTTATTAATAGTCATTAAAGCATTTATTGAATCTTTCATACCTTGCCTTCTGCAAATGCCTTTTCACAAATGGCAATAAATTTTTCTATCTGATAATTACTGGGAGGGTGAAATTCTCTGACTTTAATTTCAACCCAGGTAATGTCTGGAAATGAATGCACAGCAGGGGTAGTTTCAGGAGATAATGTAACCAAATAATATATACCATGTTCTAACAAATAACGTACAGCTGGTACAGATGAAGGGCAGCCGAAAGCAGCTAGCTTCCCTTCTTCAATCCAAGAAAAGTTCGCTGGTCTTTTTGAGCTCATTATGAGAGTTCTAATTAAGATAAAGTACCATAGGTTTTAAAATAATGCATGAAGAAAAAAAATTTTCCTCACATCCTATTCAGTGCGTGATTTAATAATACGATTTACTTTGCGAAGCAAAATATAAACAGTGTGTAGTCTGCTACCAAACGGAAGTTGCCATTTTGAAAAGAGTTTTCGTGTTTCTCATTTTAATGCAGATTTTCTACTTCGGAATCAGTATGCTTATCGAAATATACCGCATTTATTAACTAATATGTAGCATAGTTTATAATATGACTGTTTATAATTAATATTCTTATAGAGTTACATAAAATTGCATTTGTTCTTACATGAACTAAAAAAACCATTTATACTTAATTTATTATTAAAATATTCTCATTTTTATCAAAATGCGTTCCGGTGTGAAACTTTTTTGTAATCTCACTAAATATATATTCTATATATGCCAAGACCCCTGAAAATCTTGTTGATATATGCGTATTTAATTAGACTTTACAATTGGCAACAGAAGCAGTTGAACTCTGGATCGTCAACAAAACAAATCTATCAAATATGGATGAAGGAAAGTATGTATGATTTTTCATAAACACTGCGCAAAACTTTTATGTATACTGCGTGATATTTTTAATATATTTGTATTATTTTATCTGCTTTAGAGATGAAGAAAATAACAATGAAGCGAGTGCTGGGTCATGGTGGGGCAGTTGGCCAACTTGGTTACAAGCTGCGAAAGAAAAGGTTTGACCATACTCATTGATAACAATAGAATTGAAATAATACTTCAAAATTAGTTTTGCGTTATTGTTCCGAATTCAGAAATTTTTTATATTAATGTCGAGCGTTAGAAATATCATATGTCGTAGGTTTTGTAGTGCTATGCTTTGTAAACTTGCTAGTGTTATCGAAATATTTATTTTCCAATTTCTTCTGTTTTAAAGCATTTGCTTTTATGAAAAGTAATATTTAAAATTATTTTCATTATCATTCATTGCTTGCTGATTTTTTCCCCCTTCGTAGCTGTTATATAAATAGTTTTTAAAAATTTTTCTGTATATTATGGGATAATAATTGATTGTATGTTATGTAGTCTAGCACAGCTTTAGAATTTATGAAGAGAGATCTTTCTGAGTTTTCGCATGTGGTCCAGACTGATGCAGTAGCTGCTGTATCTTCCACAGCAGCTCTCTTGAAAGAAAAATTAACTGTAAGTGTGCTTTCTACATGAGAATTTATTACTGCTTTTAATGTTTCAAAATAGCACACACATTGGTGTTGAAAATATCTTGCTGAAAACTGTAATTTCCCAGAATATTTTAATTTAGACTGAAGATGTGATCACTTTTCAATCCAGTGTTCATTACATGAATTTTAAATGCTTTGAACAGTTTTACAAAAATATTGTTGAAAGCTCTCAATGGTAAACCTGTATTTATAAATAATTGTTCTTTAAAGTATACTCATTGCTTTACATGTTGTAGATAAAAGCATAAACTAGAAATAAGGATCTTATAAAATAAAGTCTGGAACGATACTGTTTATTTCACTTCACTGCATCTTGCATATGTTGTTGTTTTAAATACTTCCACTGACCTCAATGATCATTCTAGTATCTCGTGAAAATAGAAATTGATTGCAGATTCTGCCTGTTACCTATAAAGTAAAGCTAATTATTTGTTAGGCATATATGATATCAAAACTGTTTGTAGAAGAATTACAAAGATGGGTTAAAGAAAAATTTTTTTTCTTCCAAAAACTGGAAAATTTTACTGTAAATTGACAATGTGGTAAATGTATATTTTAGGGTACCGCTTGGTGACCCTTGGTGATTTTTGGCAGTACATGGATACCGAGTATGTGCAGTTCTTTGGCTTGCGTAGCGGCAATTTCTGCCCCAAAAATCGCAGCTACACAAAGCCAAAATAACAAGAAAAAGAATTGAACAGACTCGGTATCCATTTACAAATCGACCTATTTTCACTTTAAAAAAAATCCCAGAATTGCACAAAAGTGGCATTGCGCACTCTCTTGACTTTATCCATGTACACATTGACCTATTTTCACTTGCAAAATACTCACTTATTATCCCGATTAACTTAAAAAAAACAGAGAATTTCACAAACTAGGCTTTGAGCACTCCCTTGACTTTGTCCATGTACACATCAAACTATATTCACTTAAGAGTCGAAGGAGCAGCCAACAAAAAATATATAATCTGAATAACTACTTTTAAAAAACAGTGAAATAACAAAAAAGAAATTCATCTTAGCCACTACACGAAGAAATATCCACTTACCTTCTTTTGAATTTACGCGTCTTCAGCCAAACACAATTCCTAACCATCCAAACTCTTCCAAAATTATCTGAACTAGAATCTGTATACTGGTGTACCATATAATTCACAAAATAAGAGTAAAATATCCTCCGTACGAAATTCCGATGTTCGACCATACACATTTCCGTCTCCAACAGGACACTTATAATGCTACTAAGTAAACCTTCATTTGCACTCAGTCAATTAATGCTTTTTCCCTTTACGTTCCAAATCGACAGAAACTTCAAATTAATCTTAACACAACTTCAGTCAATTTTTATAAACCCCAAATAACACCATACTAATCCTCACACACAAGCCCTTACCCCCAAATCACACAACCTTTCCAAATTTTTTCCCATGATTCAAATTCATCGCAACCAATTACCTCATAATAGGGTTTCCATAGCATTCAACTACTCAGGTTGTCATAAATGCGTTAACAACTTCCCGATAAATGAAACAACAATTTTGCGATAATACAAGGGGTACCCTAAAGTCAACTGTAACCGACAATGTTACTGCATTACACAAATGTCATAAACTTAATTATTTTCCTGCCTTTGAGTGCAGTTTCAATCTGTCAGTCTTGAAACTGTCACTAAGCACCATAATTTAGGTCCAGTTGTGGATAAGCATGATTTAGCAATGTACTCATAGCATCTGCACTTTCGTTTGATGTTACCCTAACTGATTCTTGATGAGTGACCTTAAAAAGAAAAAAAAAAAATAATAATATATATTATATGTACAGTCACTATGCAATGTGAAAAATTTTGACAAAAAAATATCCATTTGAACAAGAACATGTTTGAGAACTGTAGAATTGTATTTATGACTGCACTCTAATTCATTTATAGCTGATTGAGAGAATTAACATGTGTTAAATGGGGAAAAGAATAGATGCATACGATTCAGTAAAACAGCAATAGGTTGAAATAATTATACATGGAAAGTTTGTACTTGTAGTATTCTAAATGGAGCTCCCATAAAATCGATGGGTTTAACAAAATGGTAGAAATTGGCGAAAGCCTTTTTACGAAACTTTCATAAAAGGCTGAAAAGTGAAGCTGTTTGAAAAGTAATTGTTCATTAAATAAATATGCTTGAGTTCCTTCAGAATTTCACAGGACTGATTGGTGTAATTTTGGCAGGATCTTCTGCCAACTTTCAGAGTAAGATCTTGAGAGCCAATGAAATGCTTTACTGCAGAGCAGTTTGAATGCCAGAATCTATTGGATGAGAGCTCTTTTGCGATAGTAGTGCGGTATTTGCCTACCTCGTAACAAACCCAGGATTAAATTCCAAGGTCATTTCATCATAATCAAGGGCATTCAAAACTCGTACATTACTGCAATTCTCATCAGTGCTCATAGATGGCAACGCAAGCATAACTTTAAGCAACTACATGCCAAACAGCACCAAGCGAGCATATCACCTCAGGTTCACTATAATGGGATAATAAGTTAGTATTACAAGTTGTGAACCAAGGTATGATCAGGAGGTCATCCTTACAAGAAGCATCTCGTTTTGAAAAGCAGCAGCAATTTGAAAAATAACAATCATATATCATTTATACCATTTAATATCTTGATGGAATGCTAGTGCTAGTAAAGTATTTGCAACTTGGTTACTATCGCATTATCTGGAAAAATATAAGTGGGTTTTTACCAGCGTTTCTTGCTTAATTTAATTGATTAGTTGCTCTTGTATGGAATTCTTACATATGTGCAGTTCATTATTCTGCCACCATTCTGAAAATAAGTTGCCTTTTGCACATTAACTTGGTGAAAAATTAGTCACTAATGTGTTTACAAATACTCGCCTAGTTCACAACGTTGTGATACTTCTTTGGCAATATAAAGCAACTCCAATGATGGTGGAACACAGAAAAAACTTTATTTAGCACTCAAAATGGCGACATACAAAGCAAGAAAAAAAGAAAAATGAATTCTAACATTTTAAAATAAAATACATTCTTTGTGCGAGAGTCGCACGTGGCACTCGAAACTGGTTTCAAACATTGCCATCCACATATACATTAATGTTCATTTAATTAAATTATTTATTTTAAACTACAAGATTTTAATAATATTCAAAGCTGTTACAACCTGTCTCCCAATGGAGTGACTTTTGACGAAGGGAAAAGTTCTGTAAAATTCTAAAGTTTATAAGCTCAGCTTGCTCAATTGCTTAAACAGAAAAGTAACTTCTCTCACTTTCCAAATTTCAGGCCAAAAATTTTAAGTTTTAAACAAATACTTTTACATCACATTTAAATAAAAAAAAAAAAAAAAATGAAGAACGTTGAAATGCATCAGTTGAGCATACATTAAATAATAAAATAAATTCTAAACGTGGTTACATACACTAAGAGTTATTATATTACTTAATTCTACTCAGAACATCCACGTTCTTGTGCAAAGATCCTTTGCAATGAATGACCTTAAAATCATAGGGTTGTAATGCCCAGTGCATCAATCTAGAGTTATATTTGGTGTTGGATTGTAGCCAGACCAAAGGCTTATGATCAGTTTGAATCAAGAATTCTTGCTGACAAACAAAAATGCAGTTTCTTGATAGCGTACATGATAGCAGCGCACTCCTTTTCAGTAGTACAATTTTTTTTTTTTTTTTAATTTAGTAAATTTTTTGCTTATATACAAGATAGGATGTTCATGTTGTTCATCATCTAATTGATATAGTACTATACCCATGCCATTGTCTGAGGCATTGGTTTGTATAATAAACATTTTATCAAAGTCGGGAGCATACAGAATTGGTTTCTTGCATAACAACGCTTTTAAATTTTTAAAAGCTTTGTCACATATTTCAGATCATTTTATATTTCCTTTTTTTGTTACCCCCTTCAAAGCGTCCGTGAGGGGTGAAGCAATTTGAGAAAATCTCGGTATGTACTGGCGATAATACCCTACTTGTCCTAAGAAAGCACGTACTTCTGTTTTGGTTTTAGGTGTAGGATACTCCTTTACAGCCAGGATCTTTACTTCATCCGAGGTTTATTGTCCTTGTCCCACAACATGGCCTAGGTATCACACTTGATCTTGTGCAAATTTACATTCCTCTGTCAAAGCACTGATGAAAGAGCTCCTCTGATCTTTTTGGAACACTTTTGGGAAACCCATACAACTGAAAATCTGTAAGAAAGCATCAATCACAGATGGCGAAGAAATATCTGTCACCGCAACAGCATCTGGATATTTGGACGACATCCACAGAGCTATAATAATATATTTTTTTCCAGTATTTGAAATAGGTAGCGGACAAACAGCATCGACATTTATTTTGGTGAATATTTCGGAAATTACTGGTACTAATGTCATTGGAGCCTTCTTTTTGTCATTTCCTTTTCCAGGGCGCTGACAAGCATCGCAGGTTCTTACAAAATCTTCAGTTTCTTTGTAACACCTCATCCAGTAAGAATATCTAGCAAGTCTGCCTTTGGTCTTTTGACACCCAAATGACAGAAGTTCCTTCGGGCACATCTTTATAATTGACGGCTTGAGTTTTTCAGGTATAACTACAAGCTGTCTTTCAAAAGCCCATATTTATATCCGTCGTTTTTTTATCTAAAAGCTCTTTTCTTGTCAGACTATAGTTCTCATGTACCTTCTTTAACTTCTTGGATGATTTTTAGTAAAAACATTCAGTCAAACATTCCCATTCACATATACCTTAATGTTCATCTAATTAAATTATTTATTTTAAACTACAAGATTTTAATAATATTTAAAGCTATTACAATGTGAAGGCTGTAATGCATGTCTTTTCAGCTTTTGGACAAAAATAGGAATAAAATTTTCTTCCAGTCAGCATCAGACCAGCATAAAATTAGACATTTTTTTAACAGAACATGGACAAAATTAAAGCTGAATTTGTCAGCACTTTTTGTTGTTTATATTTAGCATTTTTATATTTTTATGAATAATCATTGAACTGTGGCATTTGTACTAAATAATTTATTATGTAAAATTATTAACATTTGGTGAAACTGGAGAACAAATAACAGTTTAATAATTGCACCTCGCTAAGATTGTTATATTTACAGTTATTGTTAACTTGTTTAGGTTGATATTACACTGCTAATCGCACTTTTTTAAGATTAATCTATCAATTTTTATATTTTTGGAGAGATAGCCTATTTTTCGTATTGGATTAACTATAGTGAACCTAACTTAGCTCCCTTGAAGTTTGTCATAGCAGGGTTTAGCTGTTTTTATGGGCAGACCTACATCATATTCATATAGGTGTTTCTGCTGATTAATGCCTTGTGTATCTCTGGAATTAAGCATCTTTGAAATGCCATCGGTTCCTATTACTAGAACTTATTTTTGGCTGTTTATAGTGAGCTTTTATGGTCATTTAATTTTTATGAAAGTATCCATTTATTTTATTGAAAAAAATTAAAGGTATTTATGTATTATGTTTATGAAAAAAAACTGTGAAATAGGCTATCATTGAACTATGAAGTAGGCAGAGATCTTGTCAAAGTTGCACCAATCGTTACTATGAAAACTTCTGGTAGTGATTTCTTTTTTATTTAAAAAAAATTATTATTTGGTAGTCTTCATTTTTGAGCTTTATGTAAAGGCTTTTGTTGATTTCTACTCTTTTGTTATCCTCTCCACTTTTATTGGAAGCTCTGTTTAGAACGATATGAGTACAGATTTCCTGCAGGTAATTGTTCTAATGTATTATTGTTTTATTTACTATATTCGGCTGCCCATACCATGTGTCCTTTCCATGTGACCATACCCCATACCATGTCCACTTTTTTTGGTAGTAGTATGTCATAACTATACAAATAATTCACTTCTTACTGTAGATAGCAATAGTAAAAGTAGAAGACTCCCAAATTTTAGTCCTTTTTACTTCCTTGTACGAAGTAAAAAGGAAGTATTGTAATCGCGAAAAGTTTCAGGCAACATATTTCAAAGAAAATATCCATTTTGACCGCTATCGAATGCAATTTAATGATGCTTTTGCATGATATCTGTACATGAGAACAGAATAAAAAACTCTTTTCCTCCAAAAAAAATATAAAACTGCTTTAAAATTAATTCTGAAGAGAATTTTTCGTGGCGTCTGTACGAACGTATGTACGTACGTCAGTACATACGTATCTCGCATAACTCAAAAACGAGTAGACTCAGAACGTTGAAATTTGGTATATAGGACTGCTATAACATGTAGATGTGCCCTCATATGCAATCGGCCGCACCAAACGTATATAATATATTATATATATATCCACTCTGTTACCCGGCTCAGTGATCTCTTTCTTTACTCTTATATGTTTGTAATTGTATATTTTTTGCTTTAAAATGATTGAATTAGTTGTTTTTTTTTATCTTCCGGTTAATTTTTTATGCCTTTCGTAATTCTGGAAGCAATATTTGTACAATTATCACAATTTAAAAGCTGTTTAAGTGCGGTTAAGTTTTAAATAACATGGCGGACATTTGAAACGCAGAATGTAGATTTGTTGCCGATCTAGAGAGACTAGCTTCGCAGCACAAAAATAATGCCTTCATTTATTATTGTGAATTAAATCATGCTAATCCTTTCTGAATTTTTTCGATGAAATAAGTGTTTAAGATTTACTTCGTATTTTTAATGCAGATATTTTGAGTTTTATGTATTTTTGCTTTGTTGCAAAGTGAGAACTGAATTAATTGAATGAAATACTAAATCATCTATGAAAAACTGTTTTCTTTTCTGTTGTGTTTGCTTAATTTCTTTCATACTCGTTTAGCTTTATTAGTATTTGAATAGAACATGTGGCAACGATAGTTCTTCAAATGATATAATTTTGTCATTCAGATGTCGTTATAATAAACAAATACAGTGAATTTTAAAGAATGGCTATTCTATTGTGGCTTATGCGCTGTTGCGAAGTAGATTTATTCCAATCCAATCAATTTAAATGAAATCAGAAAAAAATGCGTATAATTTAACATTCCGTACAAGGAAGTCATGTGGTGTACACATCAGTTTTTTTTCAAAATGAGAGGAAAAATATAATAACAGTTAACATATATCCTGGGTCATAAAAAAAGATGATGACCTATCAATAATCAATCACAATTACATCAAATGAAAGCTCAGATATTATGAATGTGTTGTTACGTTCTGTTTATCCATAATTATCTCTAAATCAACTTGCCTGGAGACAGTTTCATGGTCAACGGGATAATATGTAAGTAGCAAATTAAATTTCTACATAAAATGAACTGTTATTTTTAATTTTAGAAGAAAAAAATAAGCTAATACAGAAAAACATTAAATTTTATGGAAAAAAAAATTGGGCATGAGAATTTTATGCCTCAGTATTGAATTCTGTATATTCAAATTATAACAATGGTAACTTGTAACATTTTTAATAGTTTAGAAATTTTTACATGTAATATAAATTTTGTAGCAATGTATTAACAGCAGGAAAGTTCATGCTATAGATGTCTAGTTAAGTATAAAATTTGTTTACTGCTATTATTAAATTTATTACCTGAGTTATAAAAAATCATTTATTTCAGAGATACTGTTGAGTACTTTACTATAATAATTATTGTCTGAAAGGATTGTTTCATCTGGAGTCCCAACATGCATATAAAAGAATAAACTGCATGATCTTTTTTATAAAATGAAAATCCTTGTGGATGTTGCTACCAATCACCAACTGTCTAAAATCTGTTTAATAACAACTAAAATCTGACTGTCTTTATAATAATTCACATGCAATCTAGTATAGTATTTCTAACAGTATCTACTGTTCTGTTAATCTTTTTTAGACTGAAATGTACAATATGTATAGTATGTTTTTAAAGTTTTATATTCACTTGTTAATGCTTTGACTAACACATATTTGCATATTTGAAAATAATTTCAATATTAAATGTTGACATTTTTGTCAAAATAAAATGCAATATTTTGTATGCTGTAGATTGATAATGCTGAATTAGTCGCTGATAAAGCACGTCAATCAATTACCTCTGTTCTTGAAACCATTACTGATGCCTTTGTTCCCCAGAAAGAACTAGAAGATGCAGAGCTTATGGTAATTAAAAACTCAGAACCTGTGGTTATGGACTGGTGGCAGGTAAGGCTGTTTGGTTGAATAGATGAAATCTTGATATATAGTCTATTTGCATAAATAGATGAATGTGATACGTAGCGTATTCGGAAACTAATACCGTTCATTCGAGCGCTGTCGTAGCTGTGGTAGGCTCCCGCGCATGCGCACTAGTTTCTTGTTCACTCTTTCATTTCGCCATTTTGGTTGCTCTATGTTGTGTTTTCAGTTTCCTGTGCACATTCAATGTTTAAGACAATTAGTTCTCCCGCTGACTGTGAGATTCGTGTCGTGATTAAATTTTTCAACGCGAGGAATGTTAAACCGGCCGAAATTTATCGTCAAGTGACAGAAGTTTACGGTTAATACGCGATAAGTGATGGAATGGTGAGAAAGTGGGTAAGAGTGTTTAATGCAGGTCGAACAAATGTCCACGCCGAGGCTCGGAGTGGTCGGCCTTCTGTTGTCATCGATAATTTGGTAAGGAAAGTTGATGAAGCAATTCATGAGAACAGACGTTTCACAATGACAACTCTTTCAGAGGCATTTCCACAAATTTCACGTACTGTTTTGTTCGAAATTGTGTCTGACCGCTTGAATTATCGCAAACTGTGTTCCCGATGGGTTCCAAAAATGCTCACTGATGTTCACAAAACAAAGCGACTTGGTAGTGCCCTACATTTCTCACGCGGTACAGTGATGAGGGAGAAAACTTTTAAAACCAAATGGAAGGTGATGAAACTTGGGTGTGTCATTTCACACCAGAATCGAAACAATCGATGGAGTGGAGACACATCATTCTCCGAAAAAACACAAGAGTTCAAAGTGAAATGTCTCACAAAAAATTTTGTGCACTGTCTTCTGGGATAGGAAAGGCGTTTTGCTACTGAATTTTCTTCCCAGAGTAAACCATTAATGCGAGACGAATTGTGAGACTTTAACAAACCTAAGGCGTGCATTCAAACAAACGAAGAGGAATGCTCAGTAAAGGATTGTGTTGCTCATGACAATACTCGGCCCCATACTGCTGGTGTCACTCAATCGTTAATCGACAGTTTCATTGGAAGCAGTTCGATCACCGCCATACAGCGCCGTCCGACTATCACTTGTTCCTGCACTAAGCGCAAGCTTGGTGGCAAGCGCTTTGGATCTGACGATGAGACAAAAATGCTGTGGAGTCGTGGTTATCGAAACTGGCGGGAAGTTTCTTGACGATGGTATACAAAACTGGTCACCCGCTATACAAGTGTTTGATCATGGCTAAACTATGTTCAAAAATAGTTTAAGACATGTATTTCATGTAAAAATAAAATTGGATTCGAAAAAGTTGTTTTACTATTTTTTTTTCAAAACGGTACTTAGTTTCCGAATACGCCTCGTATATAGTCTATTTGCATGAATAGATGAAATGTTGATATATAGTCTATTTGCATGAATAGATGAAATGTTGATACATAGTTTAATTGCAGTAGCAGTGACTTTGAGCTTAAACATGCATGCACCGTTCAGACCAATTTATTCACTAAATTGAGTAGATAAACATAATCATGTAGTAGGAATTTTTTCTGTTCTCATTTTCCCCTATTTATTTTCACTGCATTCAAAGAGCACAGACTTAAAGAGGCAGAAATTACTTTTAAGTAATCTAAGATAATATGCTGATCATCATTTGTAATTAACTGTTTGATTACACTGTATTTCATTTTGTACATTAAAATATGAATGTTTTCAAATTTAATATTGCTAAATATGCATAATTTTATGATTTAAATAGCTATTAATGTATAATAATTGTTTTATACAGTCAAAAGTCTTTAATCCGGACTCGTTGGAACTTCTGCGATTCCGGATTATCGGTTTTTCCAGATTATAGATCATCAATTTAAATGTGGTAAAATGCCATGCAGAAATTATAAAATTAAAATATGAAACCGTAATTTATGAAATAAAGAGTAATTAGGACTAAAGGCTATCAAAAATTTGCAAAAAAAAAAAAAAAAGAAAAAAAAAGAAGAAAAAAAAAGAAAAAGCTTAATATTTATTTGTTTACTTATTTAACATTTCTTTCAAACACACATGCGTAAAGCATACATTATGCAAGTCCGAATTAGAAAATTGCAACCAGAAAATTATTTGATGTGTATTCGTGATATTTATAATGATGAGGAATTTGATTTAAATCATATCAAAGACAGAGTACATCGAGAGGAAATACAGTCAAAAGTCGTTAATCTGGACACCCATAATCCGGAATTATCTATAATCCAGATCTCAAAGCTACAATTTTTCTGCGCATGCGTCAACGCATAATGCATTGACGCATACTCGTAATGCCTTTATGCATGCGCATAATACGTTTACGCATGCGCGTTTAATGTATAACGGACGGTATAGGCTAAGCTAAAATAATCTAATTATCTATTTCAGTTAATGTTGCAGATTGGGTTGTTCCTTAATTTTGGAATTGGATCCGTCTTATTATTTTTTGCAGACTTAGAGCAATTTTATAAAAGGAAGTTGGAACTTTCGATTATGTCAGATAGAATTTCTGAAGGAGCTGCAAAGGATCTACAAGGGAATGTTCGGTGTCTGAAAGAGTATTGCTTGGCAGCATTGTTTTACGCCAAGCAGAGTTTGGATTTGTGAACCCTAAGTATTTCGTTTTTGCTTTATTAGTATGAAGATTCTGACTGATGTAAGAGCATATGGTTGCTCGCTCTTTAGCTAATTTACATAGGTAACTATAAGCCATGCGTGTGCTATGATTCAATAATGTTTTTTGTAAAAAAAATTGTTAATATTACAGTCCACTTACTGAACTTAAATTTCATTAAATAAATTCGAGCTATATTCGGCAAGAACAGTTTGGTCTCTAAAGCCGGAGAAGAATATGGCCACTAATATTGTTTCATTGAATCGCCAACGCGGCGTAGTGAAAATGATAAAATGAGCTTTGATAAAATTCCTTGATGAGTATAAAATGTAGGAGAATAAACTCAACCATGATGTTATTATGAAGACTTAATTGGATTCTTTGTTGGAATTAAAATCTCGGGTTAAACACCTCATAGTGGAATACACCAATTCGCCAGAGGAAATTGACTTGAAGGATAATCTAAGCATTACACAAGAAATTGGAAGAAAGCTCGAAGAGTCGAAGTAAGATTTAGAATTTTTCTTCTAATTGTGAAACAAATAATAAAGATAAATTTGAACCAAAACTGTTTCTAAATCAAATTTTAAACTGCTCCTTCTTCTTCCTTTTCCTATGGTCTATGAAGATTTTAAAATTTTAAAGTGCCTTTTTTCTTGATGGTATAATAATAATTTAAATGATACTGAGAAATGTTTTTTGAAAGCATCACTTAAAGGTGAAGCAAAAATTTAGAATCATGTCAGGATACATTTGAGTCGCCTATTTTCTGCACTTGAAAGCAGATATGAAAACAAAGAGCAGTGTTGATGCCTTATCAATAATTTGTTGAAATTTGAAAAATAAATGACTCACCTTTCTCAGTTGAGATTCATGGTAGATATGTTAAAAGATGTTTGAGATCTTTAAGTGTATTAGAATTTGATAGAAATATTTATCTGATGTTTTGATATAAATATTTATTGCATAAATTAGATAGAGAATCAGAAAAGCATTTGAAAACGTAAAATAAATGAAATTCCCAACTTGATGAATTTAGAATTTCTCGAAGAAAGAATTCACATTCTTGAAGAAATAAACAAAGTTAGTTTTCCTAAGCAGAGCTATACTACAAGTATCAAATCAATTAAGTCGCTCTAGAATTCAAAATCCTGGTAACTAAACAAACCCTTTCGAAGTGTATTATGTGTAAGAACCACACCCAATTTATCATTGTTCGAAATTTAAGATATTTCTGTTTCTGAGCGTTATGTTTGTTAAAGAATATAAATTATGCATTAATGCCTTTCTCCATCCACGTATTATCGCAGTGTAAGGCTAAATTTAGCTGTTATTTCTTAAGAAAGACACATCATTTCGCTGTTACATAAAATTGACGAAAACAAAATGATCATCGAAAGAATGAATTAACCTTGACCTTTGTCAGTGAATGGGAAAGAGGACTGCCCTCTCCCCCTACAACTTTGATGGCACTGCAAATAAATCTAAATTTGTGTTAATAATACAGCAATTTATCTTCGCGATTGTTTACGATGAACGAATTCCTTTTAGAGCCGTGCTGGATTCAGCTTCGACTTCTAATTTTTGTACTGTAGGTGTTATGAACTCATTGAATAAAAAAAGAACAGCATTTATTCCAGTTAGTGGAATAGGCAACACTACTTTGAATGTTAAATCCAAATAAAGACGCGTTTATCGAACTTAGAAAAGGAAAATG